GCAAGAGTGTCAAGCAAGAGTGTCAAGAGAAAGTGTCAAGAAAGATTGTCTAGCAAAGAGTGTCAAGAAAGAGTGTCTAGCAAGAGTGTCGTGTCAAGAGTGTCCAGCAAGAGTGTCAATCAAGAGTGTCAAGAACAAGTGTCAAGAAAGCTTGTCTAGCAAAAAGTGTCAAGAAAGAGTTTCAAGCAAGACTGTTTAGCAAGAGAAAGTCTCGTGGAAAATGCTCGTTTTTTGAAGCTTTGGTTGTCGCTTCTGGTGAAAGTCTTGTGAAAAATGCTTGTTTTCAAGAGTGTCAAGCAAGAGTGTCAAGCAAGAGTGCCCAGCAAGAGTGTCAAGAGAACGTGTCAAGAAAGACTGTCTAGCAAAGTGTGTCAAGAAAGAGTGTCTAGACGGCTGGGGAGGTGCTGGCGCTGCTTTAGTTGATGACTCTGCGAGTCATCTCCGAAAACAAGAACGCTTTGAGTGCTACGTTTCTATACAAAGTGACTGCATTCGGGTTCGTGGGCTCTATCAGGTTGAGTCATTCGCCCTTGTATGACACACAACAGCAAACAGCACTTCATGAAAAGGCCAAGGCAACAACAAACAGCATTTTTAAAGTGCGACCTACGCTCGCTCTGTTTTCTGCTTTTCTGTTTCCTTTTTTACACCTTTCCTGCTTCGCTGCGGCCCGCATGCAGTGAACCACTAAAGCTTCGACCAGGTAACCGATCCCCTTCCCTTCCTTCTACTGCTTACTTTTCCCTCTACTCTCTCTTCCCCTGTGATCGTGGGTGCTCTACCTCAGATGACGTTTCCCTGTATTTTTTCTTCCCCTGTGATCATGGGTGCTCTACCTCAGACTTGTCCTTTTCGAACTTTACACTGTTTGGGGTCTCTTGCCGGGATAATTTGAGTTTCATAGCGTGAATTTGAGTAGATTGTCAGAATAGCTGTTTTTGCACTGGAATAGCTAGTAGCGTCCTTTCCCCTAGTAGTAAAGCCAGGAGCCCCTAGTAGCGTCCTTGTTCCTAGTAGTAAGGCTAGGAGCCCCTAGTAGCGTCCTTGCTCCTACTAGCGATGCCAGGAGCCCCTAGTAGCGTCCTTATCATGAGATACTATGTGTAGTATGGATGCTTGGAGTTGTGCTTGACCAACTCGCCAGGAATCGCAGATACTACGAGGAGGATGAAATGGAGGAAGAAGGTGAGCTTGATGACCTATTGACTTACGAGGCAGAGAGTGGACTGCACGGGTGGTATGCAGGTTACTGACAACCTCCATGGCATCGCTTTGCACAAGGTTCTAGTCAAGAAAGCGGGTATTTGGGAGAAACGGCGTACTAAAAGCCTACTTGCGTTTCTGATATCAATCGCCATGCCTTTTGCGGTTTTTACATGTCTTTACGCTGTTACATCGTACAATTAGCTATGAAAGAAGTTGCATCACGCATTGCCGTTGCCACGCAGCAGCTGTTGTGCAGGGAGATGAATGGGTCTTTCGCATGGAGATGCCGGCAATTTTCCACAAGTTCATTGTTGGTTCTCGTGCCGGGCTCCAAAGCGACAGCCCACGAGCACGACCGTGTGACATCAATCAAGGGGTTCTAATAGTCTAGCTACAAACCCAGACGCTCTGTGGGATGGACACCAAGCCAAGAATCCAACATGTTCTGAGCAGATTGAGTTGGCGCTTGTTTCTCCGTCATCTTCGTTGCGCTTTGACTGCGGCTGTGAGGCCAGGAACAAACAAAAGCTGGAAATGGAGCAAAAGCCTCAGTATAGGAAAACTCCAGGAGATCAATGATAAGAACAGGTTTGTCCTAAACAAGGGGATGATCGGATGAAAGAAGGTCGTACGCTTCTTGATCTGCCTCAAAGGTTCAAAGCCTCCTTTACTGAGGTCTGGCTGCAAGATCGTAGTCCCCAAACGGGAGGAGTGGAAACCTGCACGATCGCAGACTCGAATCCTTTGCCCTAGGGAATGGACTCAAGCACTGTACCCACTAGTGACTCGTCATGACAGTAGGGACTAGTCAGTGTCTTTAGTGGCTTTTGTTGCCGCCTCCTAAGAAGCAGCAATCGTAGCTACTACGTAGGCCGCTACTGGGCCACTAGGCCGGGACGCAGAACAGCTTAGGATTGACTTGTTTCCTACGTCTTTCTGGGAAGCCTACCAATGTATCCAAAAAGTGGTATTCTAAGTAAGTTCTATGTATATATGTATATCAAGAATGCAGGCGACAGGAACACGTCCAGAATGCTTCGCGAAGGAGCTGGAAGATGCTGTGTACCTCAGAGCGAGGCAGAAGCAGCAGATCTACAGCTGCAAGGTGCTTGCTCCCGTTGGACTTTTGCTGTGCATTTTCCGCAATTGAGCACAGTTCTGGAGTTTTTGAAGAGGATGCAGCCTAGCAAAGTAGTGAGAACTAGCTTGTTGTCTTGAAGTGAATTGTGCCTTGTTGTTTTTTTTTGCCCGCTCCTACTTAATCACGAAAGCTAGCGTGCTAGCTGAGTTCTTCTTTGCTTTAGCAATTGGTAGTGGAATGAGCTGCGTGCCTTAAAGCTTGACATATCACACTAAGGGGGGGGGCCTGGCCCCCCCACTCTAGCGTGATATATCACGCTAAGGACCCCCCCCTCCCCCCCCCGCGGTTCAACTCCCAGCTGCAGGCGTTTTGGCATTAGTGGAGGTGTTGGAAATTGTTGGTGTTTTGTTTTGTATTTTTGATTTTGGGGTGTGCATTCAAAACCAGGATGTCAAAGACATCATGCACTTGAATTTTGGATGATCCTGGGTAGCGGAAGCACACGTAATTATTGGAGAATCAAGATGACACTCATGGGATTTTGCATGCGTTTTTGCAAAACATCCACTGATTTAGTGTTTGTATTTAGGATTCATTGAGGAGCTTTGTCGGAAGCATGGTCAGCTTCGTCGGAAGCATGATCATTTGCTCGTTTTTCTTGTGGATGCATCACATAACATTTCGGCTGCGCCTTGTCAGTTGATGAATCTTCATTACCTGAGAGCAAAGTGTTTGAATTTACTGTCTTCGACATGTGTGGTTTGGCAAAATTGTTGCTTGTATCCATACCCGCCAGATTTGCTACCGGCTATTGCCCCAAGACACTCTATTCCTTATACCTTTTCCAGTGTTTATCCTACACTACGGACGCCCTAGTGTATGTACAGTCCGTGTGATGTCAGAAATGCTCACCCCTCTTTCCGACCCAAGGCATACAAAAGCGGTGGGTAAATGTACCCTCCAGATTTACCATAACAGTAAACCAGCTATTTCATCTACACACTCTTAGTGTTTGTATGTAGGATTCATTGACGAGCTTTGTCGGAAGCATGGTCAGCTTCGTCGGAAGCATGGTCATTTGCTCGTCTTCTTCTTGTGGATGCATCACATAACATTTTGGCTGCGCCTCGTCAGTTGATGAATCTTCAATACCTGAGAGTAAAGTGTTTGAATTTACTGTCTTGGACATGTGTGGTTTGGCAAAACTGTTGATTGTATCCATACCCACCAAATTTGCTACCGGCTATTTCTTGAAGACACTCTATTCCTTATACCTTTTACCAGTGCTTATCCTACACTATGGACGCTCTAATGTATGTACAGTCCTTGTGGTGCAAGAAATGATGACCCCTCTTTCCGACCCAAGGCATACGAAAGCGGGGGGTAAATTTACCCCCCCAAATTTGCCGCAACCATAAGGCGGCTATTGCCCCAAGACATCCCAAGACACTCTATTCCTTATACCTTTTACCAGTGTTTATCCTACACTACAGACGCCCTAGTGTATGTACAGTCCGTGTGATGTCAGAAATGCTCACCCCTCTTTCCTACCCAAGGCATACAAAAGCGGTAGGTAATCACGAAAGCTAGCATGCTAGCTGAGTTCTTCTTTGCTTTAGCAATTGGAAGTGGAATGAGCTGCGTGCCTTAAAGCTTGATCACGAAAGCTAGCATGCTAGCTGAGTTCTTCTTTGCTTTAGCAATTGGTAGTGGGATGAGCTGTGTGCCTTAAAGCTTGATATATCACGCTACCCCCCCCCCACGGTTCGACTCCTAGCTGCGCCGTGTAGCGGGGGTTGGTTGAACGCGTGAACGTGGTTGGTTGGGTGTAAACGGTGGCTTGGTGTAAACGGTGCTGCTGCTGCCGCTCTGCTGCTTGCTGCTGCTGTTTGCTGCTGCCGCTGGTTGCCGCTTTTGTAGCTGCTACTTGTTGCGGCTTGGTGCCGCTGCTGCTGTTGCTGACGACGCCGCTGCTGCTGCTTGCTGCTTGCTGCTGCTGCTGCTTGCTGCTTGCTGCTGGTGGTGGTGCTGCTTGGTGCTGCGCTGCTGCTGCGTGGTGCTGCTGGCTGGCTGCTGGTTGGTGGTTGCTGCTGGCTGCTGGCTGCTGCTGCTGCTGCTGCTTGCTGCATAGGCCTTGTACTTCACTGCTACAAGTTCTTTACCCTATTTCTAGCCTAATGCGTGCATAAGCGGGGGGGTAGATTTACGCCCCAGATTTGCCATAACCATAAGCCGGCTATTTCCTCAAGACACTCTACTCCTTATACCTTTTACCAGTGCTTATCCTACACTACGGACGCCCTAGTGTATGCACAGTCCGTGTGATGCCAAAAATGCTTACCCCTCTTTCCGGCACAAGGCATACATAAGCGGGGGGGTAAATTTACCCCCCAGAATTGCAATAACCATAAGCCGGCTATTTCCTCAAGACACTCTATTCCATATACCTTTTACCCGCGCTTCTCCTACAGTACGGACGCCCTAGTGTATGTACAGTCCGTGTGATGTCAGAAATGCTTACCCCTCTTTCCGACTCAAGGCATACAAAAGCGGGGGGGTAAATTTACCCCCCAGATTTGCCGATCACGCATCTTCGTGCCTGCCAACGAGTGCACCCGTGTTGTTCCAATGTACCCTTCCCAGTCGGCGATGTCACATTTACATTCTTTAGCGCAAAGTGTGTACGTAGCAACCTTTCTCCCAAAACATGTAATCACTACATGCTTTGCCGACTATGTAACTAGTACATCCGGTGCGATTCGGCTAGCTTTCGACCTCCTCCCCCTGGCCTCAAGTTAAGTAGGCGCCTAGATTTTTAGGGAAACTTAGGAGTCTATCTACTTTGCCGCTATACCTCACTGCAGGCTCTAATTGAGCTGCTTTGTGAGAAGGAGGAAGCCAAGTTGGAGGACCAGAAGTGATGTCCTTTGGGCAGCAGGTTTGAAAGCATGACATCTGATTTGTGACTACTCATGCACTTCCACAGTATATACCACATGTGCTCGTAGCTCATTGGACAAAAGAGATAGGCAGTTAGGATATGTTAAAATTACTTACAACTTATATTAGATATGTATAGGTGGTGTAGAAAAAGGGAGTCAGAGTCAGCCTCCTTGTACCTCCTCATTCCGTCATTCATGAGGACTTAATTGCCCGTGTCTCCTGTCTAACCATTGCACAGTACTTGGCAGTACACGCACTTCATCTCGGTGCCCTTGGCTCACGATGACAAGTTCCGACAGCTGGTGGACCAGTTCCGTGAGGTCCGGACAGACCGATGTTCTTCAGATTGATTCCACTTGCTCCGTTCGTAGCGATGCCAGGAGCCCCTAGTAGCTTCTTGTTCCTAGTAGTAAGGCCAGGAGCCCTTAGTAGCGTCCTTGCTCCTAGTAGCGATGCCCCTAATCAATAAGAGTTTCAAGTTGTGTTGAAAGAATCTTAAGAATCTGAGGCTGGACATACTATGATTGATTGACGGTCAAATTCATGTCGTCACAGGATGTGGTCCTCCAGCGCTTTAGTGGAATTGATGCATCGATCTTCATGCCTTCCAGGCAAGGTGACCCTAGTGGCTCGCTGTGGCCAATGTGTTCATGCACACTTTGCTTTGGCCACCAATTAAAGATTAACAACTCTTTTGACGGCGATCAATCCCAAACTTTTGAGATGCTGTTCAACTTTTTCAGACACGTGAAGGCGAATGCATTTTACCTTGTGCATGCTGAAGCTCCACTCTCATGCACAAGTGGACGAGATGAAAGAGGTGTGAGATGCGCATGGCAACGTCTTCGTTGCACCAAGCCTGCCTTTGTCCGTTGAGTTTGACAAGCCTGCCTTGACCTGCAGAGGCTTTGCAGGATTTGTCGGCCCGCTCGCCTGTCATGTTTGTGTTTTTTGTCCTTCGGAAGAAAGATGAAGAAAGCAGGTGCCATAGTCTCCTTTATAAGCAAGGGAGGGAAGAGGTGTGACTGTCATTGTGATTCCCAACATTTCCCAACTATATAAACAAGCTTGAAGAGGAATACGAGTGCTGTATGACTGTATGATTGTTGTATTATTAATATCATATATGTTTGTCCTGACATTTGGCATTGGCAGGGTTGTCTGCTACCTCTGACTACGCACGGCCAGTGACTGCGAACATGAAGGTTGGCCTTAGTTTGTGCATGTGAGTGTGATGGTGCAGCAGCAGCCTGCTTCAGGAAAGGATGTCAAACCCACTGATGATGCCAAGGTTCACAAAAGTAAAGCATGTTTTCTGGTGTTTGACAAGGGTGATACGGTCGCTCCGTTCACTTAGATTTTGCTTAGCACGGTGGAAATCAAGTCTTGTCGCTGTCAAGTGCATACCCTTTAATCCTAGCGGCCCTAAGACCCTAAATGCTGATTCCACTATGTGACGGCAGTTTGTGTATGTTTAGCTGTTTATGTTTGTACTAAGTGTTGGGTTTTTGCTTGCACAAGTGACCCTTTGACCTTTGCAAGAGCGCTTATCCTGTCCAACAGTTGCTGAAGTCCATGACCTTACACGACCTTACGTCAGAATGTACACTTTTCATGGATGTTAAAGCATAAATTGCTTTTTACTCACGGCACGTTGACCGTGAGGGTTTGCACATCATGACGGACGACCCAACCAGTGCCAAAGCCCCAGGGCCCTAGGGTTTCAGGTGCAAAGCACTGCTATGACGTATGATGCAGTCTGAGGCCTTTAATGTACATTATTCATAGCAGGTCTTGAGTCTCAAGCAATTTATCTCAAACCTGTTTGGAACGTGTGTGAACTTCAGTGCGAGGAAGTGCCAAGACAGTTGCAAGAAGCTGTGAAGAAGTTTTGAAACATGACAAGTCAAAGGTTGGAGTGGTCTACACCACGGACAGATCAAGTGCTTTGCAGAATCGCCGCTTGGACCCGACAATAAAGCAAAAGTCTTGCAAGCGTTGCTGGCAAGGTGGCAAGCCAAGGGACCAAATATAATACTGAACTTGGTTTCAATCTGCACTCTTGATTAGGGGTTTCGAGAAATGTTGTGACAGTAGCTTCACCTATGCCATGCATAATGTATAGTATCTACACTACCAAGCACCCGGATGCACTGAGTGCTTATTAAATGCATGCTGAAAAGTGATTCCGGCCAAAACTATTTGCATGAGCTCCCCAGCAGCACGGCCGGTTTTGTTTTTGTTGCCTTGATCCGTCATGGACGCTTTGTGCAGAGTGACAGCATAAGAGAAACTGCCTGAGGCATGAATGCACTGTCTGACAGCATGTTCGAGCTCTTCCAGGATCCAAACTCTGACAAACATTACAGTTACATGAAATGCCAGTAGGAAAATTGACCATTCCTCAGCGCAGTTGTTTCCAATCATTGATTTGAAGACGGAATGAAGATCGAGAGTCCGATGAATTTGGAACCTTTGGCATTTGGGATTGCAGCTTTGAATCAAACTAATAGCGATGGCCTCCAACGAAAGATGTGTTCCTTTAAGTTCCTTTTTGGTCATTCTTGTTTCCCGAAGGCACGAAACCTGGTCTCGTCCCAGAGCCTCATGTCTCAACGGTTGCTCTCATCGGATGGACAGCATGCAGAGGCGGGAGAGGTGGTCAAGATGGAAGCCAGATGAAGCATGCTCAGAACGGAAGTTTTTGATTTATACTGCACGTCTCTTTCATTTGCAGGTGAAGCTCCATGCCACCTTGATGAACACAAAGCTTCTTGGTTTGTCTCTAAATCTCCATCAGACTGTGAGAGTCTGCACGAGGCTGTCCATTTTGCTTGGTTTGTGCCACATTGCAGCACCACATGCTGGACAGATCAGAAATTTGCTCTGAGGTATGCGCGCTCCCGTTTTGAGGAGCGAAGCGAAAGAGAGACCTTCGATGCGAGCGTCCTCATGGAGCGCTTTGGACAGGCGCGTTGAGGGGCATTTTGCTGAGGCGTTAGAGTGAGAGAAGAAAAACGAGAAGAACACAAGAAGGGAATGGCCCCTTGAATACTGCCTGGTTTAAAGCGGCCTTCTTGAAGGGGCCCTTCCATTCTCTTTTCTACGTTTTCTATATTGTACTGGGAATACCCAAGTACTCCACGAATCTTCACGGTCTTCGATGGAATTCGCAGAGTACAATCCAGGATGCAAACACTTTCAGACATCAATCCCATGACGCCAATCATGGTGCAATCACCTGGTCTTTGTTTTGCTCCATTGAAGTTGAGAGTTGGTATTGGTACACCGAGGGCCTAGGGCAGTGTTCAATCGTTTCTTACTTTTGGCTCAAGCAAGTTGAAGGACGTCCTCCAAAGGAGCTGGGACCTTAGGGATCTAAGCTGCTTGAAAGGTGGTGCTTGCTGCCCAAAACAAGCCGTAGAGCTGAGGCTGGTAGCTTTTTGGCTGCCACTGAGGATGAAATTCAGGCCATTTGCTATCTCACGTCATGGGTTTAGCGACGAATGAGACTTGCTCAGATCTTGGACACCTTGTCACAAGACGTCGTAACGCGGGCTAGAGTGTAGCCGCTGCACGTGCCGTTCCTGTTCACCTTTTGCTAAGCGTGAACGGCACCAGGCCCTGCATCGACATACACCAGGGCCAGGCACTGCCATTGCTTGAAGTTGATCCGAGAGAGTCTTGAGGGATCCCAAATAGTTTGAGTGCTGTACCACATCGCACAATCAAAATCCGGCATCTAGACTATATAAGATAGAACAGGATACAAAAGACAGTAAAGAAATATTAACAGAATCTAACAAAATATCCTGAGTAGAACCCCTAGTCCATTGTTTGTGGGTCTTTGGTCCTGGTCCTTTGGTCCCCTGGTCTATGGTTCCCTAGTCCTTTGGTCCCCTGGTCCTTTTCCTGGTCCGCTGCCCTCAGAGTCCATTGGTCAAAGAATGCGAGGTTGGCAAAATTCATACAATGATATTATGTAATATGAAACTTGCAAATTTGGTGCGACCTTTGCAACACAAAGGTACCCGGTTGCCTTAGTCCTTGTGCCACTTTTCGGGTGCCCTTCATTGATGGGGGAAGGAGGTGTGTAGTTTGTGGTGCCTTTTGAGATCTTTTGAGTCGGGTGGCTTTTGATTTTTGGTTCGCTCTGCGGGGAGGCGTTGCGACCTCACCAAATCTGCACGACTTTTGCCAATGCACTGCGCCTGCCACGACAGATTTGTTCAAGATCGCATCTCCACGCCAAATATTGCATGCCATCGCCGGAGTCTTTTTGATCCTGTGTTGCAAACATCCTGTCATTGTCCTTTGGTGGATGATAGGACCCACCTGTGCGGTGTCCAACATGCGTTGGTTCTCTTAGTTTGGTTTGCTTTGCGAGGGGACTGCCTGATCCTTTTGTCGCCCGCCCTGCTGCTGTCGTCCTTTCCCTAGTATATTGTTCCTTTCATTGCTCACTGGTATTTACTATCCCTGTTGTTGATGCTATTCTTATTTTTGTGATCCCTCACGCAGGTGACTGCTTTGTCACAGAGGCTCTGTCAGTTTCCTCAGTTCGTGAACCTGTTTGCCAGGTGAAGCAGATTGTAGGTGGCACCTTGAAAGAGGATTCCGAGTCCTTGGTGACCAATTTTGAGGCTTCTCAGTCAGCCCCTCAGAGCGTTCAAACCCTGAGTCATGTTTCATGGAGCTTAACATCGACCGACGTAAACAGTACGCGTATAGTTACCGACATAATCCGACATAGTACACATATATATATATATAACTATTACGTGTACTTGTTTTATGGAGCTTAACATCATACCGACATAGTAGTAATTATTGTGTATAGTTGTCAAGACCCCAATTAGGACCGTTCCAACATTGCAAATTCCAAAATCCAGCGCACAAAGCACAAGCGTGGGGAGCTTCTACCAAACCTGTCAGGCTTCGAATGTTCAACCCGAATCGAACCAATTTCGACATTTCTTGGTCGCACCAAACCAGGCCCTCGAGTTTCTTTTCCGAGCTCTACAAAAAGGATGGCCTAGGCTAGCCCAGCAAATATGAGCAATCTTAGAAGTGTAATTGTCCCGACACTGAAGCAAGGTTTCATCCTATCCATGCAGACTCCAACAAAGACCCTATTCAGATGTTGTTCACATTTGTTCACTGACGTCCTTCTTGAACATGCTATATACTTGATGGTGGAACGTAATTGCATAGCTTGACTCCGCCGAAAGGCTTTCTGCAAATTCTGAAGTTATGTACGTCGCCACAGGTGGTGGCCATGCCATCATGCTGGGTGCGTCTCCGGAAAACAAAGCCACTGTCATCCTGGCAAAGTAGCTACAAACCTCCTCAAATAAGAATTCAAGACGGACTGGATGGCAGGCATTGGAAGCTTTGAAAGCATACCCTGGAGGCTTGCAGGCCAAGTGTTCGAAAGCAATGTAATGTAGCGTCATTTCCTTGCAAGTTTGCCTTTATCAACGGTGTGATACAGCTCGGCATTCAATTGACGAGAAGTTTGGATTCAACCTCCATCCATCCTCGCATCATGCGTTGTGCTTCGTCCTACAAGGTCGGTGGCGGAATCAATACGGAAAACGCTCTTGAGTACCTCGATGCTGGTGGGGATGCGGGGAGTGTTTGCAAGAGCACTCTTTTAAATGCTGCTCAGTTGTCAGTTCGCTTTGGCACTTGGACATGAATTTCGCAGGAGCTAGCCATGTGATTGTGACATCCTTTGTTTTCCATGATGGAAAGGCCACGGTCCCGGGATGTCGTGCACATCAAGTGAGCCGAACGAAATGCGGTACCTGTCGATACACACCTGGTGTGCCCATGCAAAATCTGATTTCCTATGCAACGTGCACAGGATCACAGACCGGCATATGCTGTGTAAACAATGCAATCAGTTATAATTACATCAACAAGTGAAGCGTGGTTCCTCCCAAAAGTCACTTTGCTAACTAAAGTGCTTGTGTCATTTGCATATCACTGTGACTTGTTCAACAAACCCGGCTGGACAGCTTTCTTGGTTGGCAGATGGACAGAGATCGACTTAATGCGCTTGTGAGCCTAGTTGGTTGAGAGCTTACTGAAACACCTTACGGGTCACTGATCTTGGTTGCTGCCGGTTCTTGGGCCGTCACTAAGGGCATCCAGACACCTACATTGACAATTGGAAAGTATGTGCTTGACATTTTTTACTGAAGGTAAGAGCCGCCTGGTGTTAGATCTGAGCTGTAGACGGGCTGCCAGCGAGGTGCGGCTGCTGAGCGACGTTAGCCTGACAAAGAGAGCAATAGGTTTGCAGGGTCACAGTTGAAAGCATTGCGCCTGAAATATAGAATGTGGGAGGCGTAGAAACTGTTTCCACCAAGACCAAGAAGGTATAGGGAAACTGCTAGGTTGATGACTATGACGTCTTTGTACATTGTTTGAGGGGAACTTTGTCAGAGAGGGAGGGAGCGAGAGCGAGCGAGCAGAGAGAGAGAGAGAGAGACAGACGACAGACGACAGACGACAGACACACACTTGAGAAGGTTGCTCCGTGGAGCGTGATTTCAGGCTGCTTCGCGGTGTGCATTAGCCCTTTACATTTAGGTACAGCATTAGCCGAGAGCATTAGCACTTTATTGCAAAATCAACGTATGAGACAGCGTTGAACTGACTTAGAAGCATCAATGAGTGAAAATTAAAAATTGCAGGTACAAGATACTGCGTCCAGTATCTCTTCCAACCGAACACCATAGCTTTGTTAGCACGGCTAGGTGAACGGCCGCCGTGCCCCCTGCTACTGTACAGTGGTTGGAAGATTCGTAGGGTAGGTTAGAACGAGAACTAGAGTAGTGTCCTTGGAAACAGGATTGGACACACACAAAGAGCCGTATCGGCGCAACTAGATCGGATCAGGTAGGACCTGGATAATAAATAGTGGAAGGGCTGGACATCGAAAAAGTTCAATACTGTAAATTGTATACACCGACAGTCTGTGAAGGTGCTGGCGCATAGTCTTTTTCCTCGTGGCCGCAGCGCCGCGGCGCAGTGTTCTTTTGAATGACCTTTGGTCATATAGAGCTGCATCAACTGCTGTGCTGTCGTGGGTACTAGATGTTTTGGGAAAGTGTACTTTTGTAGTGTGTGGTGGCGTGATTGTCTGCAGACTGCGGATCACGAATCTGCCAGGGATGAGCGGGGAGTTGAAAGGTGACCGTTCTGTTGAGAGGATCGATCAGGAAACCGAGTAGATGGTCGTCGTCCACTGGCTCTATTTCAACTGGGTGTTCATAAAATTCAGGATGGGCCAAAGTGGTGATGGGGAGTGCTGACCTGTATTGTTCGTTGAGCAAAATGTATCGGTTGTCAACGTAGCGGGTGTTGAGCAAATGAAGGCTGGGTTGGTGCTAGAAATTGTGGTACGTGGTTTGCCATGTGTGTTCGATGAGTGTGATTGCGACATTGCAAAGTGCTGGTGAGAGCTGACTGCCAATGCCTGCTCCTTGGATTTGTTTGTAGTAGGTGTTGCATGCTTGGAAAATGCATGAGTGAAGGGCTTGTTGTACAATGAGGGGGATGTGTTGAGTGTCCAGGGTGCGTTGTTGTGGGTGGTGAATGTAGTGTCGACCAATGTGGGAGTGTTGGAGGGGATTGCCAGTAGACTGAACATCTATGGTGATGGTGGTAGTATTGTGTTGTGTTTTCCAGCGGTGGCATAGGCTGATGACTGCATCGACGAGGCGTTGCTGAGGTACACTGTTGAAGAAGCCGACGAGGTCATCATTGATTGGTGTGAGGTGGATGTCGTCGGGTGTGGTCTGGAAGTGGTTGTGGAGATGTTGCCACAGGTTGGGTATGGATAACTGGCCTGGATGTTGTGGTAGAAGATGAAGGAGCATGATGTCTAATGCTTTGGAGGTGGCTCGTAGTAGTGTGCCAGCAATGGATCTGAAGTAGCTGATGACTGTTCTACCTTTGCGCCAAGATTTCTTTTGTTTGAGGAAGACTACACCATGTGGTGTGTAGAATTGCTTGCGGAATCCCCATGGGTAGGCTCGACGTATGCTGGCGGGGAACGATTGTGTGAGAAACTGGTGAAGTTGTTGGGCAGTGAGATCTGGTAGTGGTAGAAATAATTGTGGTGTATTCCATGTGGTGAGACATCCGTGAAAGTAGTGTTGTGGACAGAAAAGTCGCAAATTTTGTAATTCGTGGTCGGCATGATGGAGTACCAGCTTGTCTGTAAGAAACTGTTGAAGCTGTGTAACGTTGCGGGATGTAAAGCGTGGGGTGTATAGAATGTTGTCGATGTGCTGTTTCCATTGTTGGTGTAGAAAAGGTAGGCTGTGTTGATGGAGGGCGGTGGGTAGACCATGGTGTCGTAGCCAGTGAGTGAGTTGTTGTTCAAAATGTTGGAAATATTGTGTCTTTGTGGGAAAGAATGTGCTGTTCATGTTGGCCTGTAGGAATAGTTCAAGATGGCTGGGTAGCTGTAGGTCGTCAAGTGTAAGCACGTAGTGGCCATCATAGAGCTGCGGTGTGTGGTTGGGGCGAAGCAGGGTGTGCATGTGGTGGCAGCTGCATGGCATGTCAGCTGCTGAGGGATGTGCGGAGAAGAGTTCCTCCCAACGTTTGTGGTTGTAGAGCCGTGAACGTAAAGTCTTGTGTGCTGCTTCACGTAATTTGGTGGTAGGTGGGTGGAAGGGAATGACGTGATGCATGTGGTGTTGGATCAATGTACGAAGCCATTTTTCCGTGGAGGACGAGAAGGTACCGTGGGAGAGGAAAGGAATGGTGAAGGGTTTGTTGGCTTTTGGTGGAGTGAGATTGCGAAAGCTGAGCGCTGAGTGGAGAAGGTGAAGGACACGTGATCGATCTGGTTCCTCTAAGCTGGCGGCCATTCGACGGAAGGCATAAATTTCGAGATCAGTGTATTTGCCGCTGCGGATGGCTGTTGATGTTTCAAAAGATGAACGTGTATGTTTGCTGAGCTCTCGTAAAACTGTCAGGGCGTGTAGGCGTTGACTTGTGTGAAGGTGGGGCTGCTTAATGGTGCGTTGTCGTCGTCGTAGCCGTTGGAAGAGACGTTTGTGAGTGGACATGCGTGTGAAAGTGGTGCGGTGTTTTGAGAATTGCCAACCTGAGGCTTTGAGTTTGAGGTGTCGTTGAATGTATGGCCAATTGAGTGTAGGTTGCCATTCCTGGATCCGCAAGTGTTCGTAGGTCCATGCTTGATCATAGGTGTCGTGATGGGAAAGGTAGATGGTACTGTAGTGGTGGAGGTTGTTCTTGGAGCGCCAGTAGCGTAGGGAAAGTTCAGCTGAAATTGGATGGTTGTTGTGTAATTGTTTGAGTTTTGCGTGGCGATTGTATTCTCGCTTTGGAATAGTGATACTGGTAGAGCCGATGTACGTGTGTCCATGTTGGTGGTACTGGTGTCTTGTGTGATGTTGGTTGAAAAAGAGCTTTGCATAGACCGCATTAGGATGTGTGAACAATTGGTAGTGGTAGGTGTGTGGTGTAACTTGTAGTTGGTTGAAACGGGAGCGCCAATGTATAGAGTGATGTGTTTGAGAGGGAAAGGCAAAGAGGCATGTAAGGTGAATAAGACTGACAGAAAAAATAGCGTGTGACTTGTCAATGTAGGGGGTGAAATGGACAAAGTGTGATAGCGCTGTGTGCAATGTAGTTAAAGATTGTAGGGTGAGATGTGTTGGTTGATGCAGCGCTTGTTGTGCGAGTCAGGCTGCCAATGCCGAGCCCGCGGCCACCAATTGCTGTAGTGAACGTGGGGGAAGCTTGAGGACCCGAGCAAGCGGGATGCCGTAGCGGGTAGCTGCTTCTCGGAGCTGTTCTTTTGTGATACGTTCATCTCGAAGAATTTGCTGGATGTTGTTGACTTGTGTCTGAGTGGCTGGTGGTAATGTCTTGAGCCATTTTTGAATGCCAGCTGCTGCATAGTTGGCTGGTGAGTTGTCATGGAGTGTTTGTGTGGTAGGGTTGAGAATGGTGTTGGTTGTAATTGCGGAAGGGGCTGTAAGTGGGAGATGTGGTGGGTGGGTGGCGGATGATGGGGCAGGGTGTGGCCCCGGCTTGGTTGGTGTGAGTGCAATGCCATGATTCTTCAACTTGTCGCGAGCGCGCTGGAGTTCGCTCTCTTGTTGTTGCAAGCGATCTGTCTGTAGCTGGAGCTTTCGGAGTGCTGTGCCTTCGCCGGCTGGTGGTGTAAGGCCTCGTAGGAAGTCAATGATGCGAGAAATAAGTGGTTGCATGAATTGCTTGGCCTCTGTTGTTTTGTTTGGAATGGACTGATCAGCTTGTTGGTGCAAGTATTCAGCGATGTTGTCGATGTCCAGGTTGTGGGCCCGCATCTCAGGCAGCAATTGTGAAGTGAATACAGCTTCCGCGATGGATCTGGTGGTGACTATGCCTGTGTAGCGTCCTGGGGATAGGATGCGGAGGCTGTGGTCCTGTAGGCCAAAACGGCTGAGCTGCCACGGAAAAATGTCGAGGACTTGTTGTCCTGCGAGGTTGTATTTCCTGGACCATTGTGTCGGCTGGATCGTCCGGAATAATGTGTGACCATGTACGGTATTTGTATCCAAATGTGTGTCGCTGGGGGTCCATGTGTCAGGTAGGTTGGGAATGTTGGGGGGGGTACAACGCCAAGCTGTGGAGGCGTTGGGTGGTGAGATGCTGCGGGTGGGGGCAAGGGTTCGGGTGGAAACGTTGCGGGTGGTGCTGGAGAGGCTGTGGGTGGATCGGCAGGGATGTTTGCGTGATGTTGATGATGTTGGTGATAAGGGTGTTGGTAGTGATGACGCACTGCGTTGGTGAGAGGTCCATAGCCGGCAGTGGGTGTCGTGGTGCCATAGTATTGTTGCCACCATTGTTGATGCGCGTCCATGATGGGGAACACTGTAGTTCCGTACAAAAAGGAGCGTTGAGCACGAGGGTAGTCGAAACTGATTGTTTGAACCACAATGGCTGAAGTGTTGAAAAAGTTGAGACTGGAGCGAAGTTGAAGATTTCGAAGTTGAACAGTCGTCCGAAGCTCGAGTGGCAAGCGTCAGAAAATCGAAAATCGAAAATCTCGAAGATCAAAATAAGAAAGAAAAATAGAATCAATACTGGAAGTATTTTGCAATAGCTGGAAGGATCGATATGCTGAAAGCATTGGGTCAAAAACCATGTACATAGAATCAAAGACCTTGAATTAGGTCTGGCGCTCTCTCACGGTGGCGCTCCAGCATCATCCCACCAGGGTCCAGGAGGTCCCGTGCCCGCTTCTGGATGATTGGGTCGAATGTTGGTGGGTGTGGGCAGGTAGTAAATGTTGGGTGTGCTGTTGGATGTAGATGCGGGTGGTGCTGAGATCGGCCCGATAGCCGTCAGTGTGGCGTGTCCCTGTAGGGGAATGCGGATGTTGTAAACTTGGGTGGGGTCACATTGCTGTGGGTTGGTGTGTTGTGGTGGGTGAGTGGGGAAGAGGTTCACTGGTCGTGGGGGTGAAATACAGCTGTTGGCTGAGCGCATACAGGTGTAAGATGGCTTGGGCGCCAGGGCTGTGTGTGGGAAGTCAGGTGTCGTAGCTGGCTGAGGTGCGATCTGCTGTGAGTGCTCATGTGTTGTGGTGTGGGTCATAGGTGGTGGTGTGGTGCGAGGTGGTGCCATGGTTTGTGGGGGTGTATATGGGTGAATAAGGTCGCTTTGGTGAATACTTGTGGTTGGGTCATCTGTGAGATCGGTTGGGTCGGGTGTCTTGCCCTTGCCCTTGCCCTTCAGCTGATCGGGCGAGAAACGGCCGATTGCTTCAATGTGGTCTAAAGCAGCTGTGGGGTCGTCGGTTGCGTGATTGACCAGTGCCCTGACTCTCAGTATGCGGTCCAGCAGTGCCGGAGGGAGATGTGGGTAAATGTTCTCATCGAAGTACATTGTCTGTTGCAATGAATGGAGCTGCTCTCTGGTATGGTAAATGATGGTTCGGCAGCTGTGTTGGGAGGTGTACACGCCGTAGATGTGCGCTGCTGGTGTGTCTTGAGTCCAGCTCCAGAATGCCGCTTCCATGGTGGCAAAGCAAAATGTCGATGAAATACGAACAGGTGAAATCAGTTGAAATCAAAAGGCTGAGGTAGAAAGTGACGGTAAATAGAGGTCATGATACAGTTGCATGGAGAAAATCTGGTAAGCAAGTCTTGGTGTGTGAGAAAAACAACAAAAGTCAGTCCGGTCATGTGAGAGTCACAACAAAGCAAGTGTCCTGTGCAGTATCATCTGAAGCTGCTGTAAAACGGCATCTGTAAATGCTAAATCTATACAAGATTGTATCCGTAAATAAATGTTGCATCTGTAGAGCAAGTGCTCGGTCAATTTGAAAATGCTGAGATGTAAATAGTGACTCTGCATTTTTTGAATTCTGTTCTAAGTTGCAGGGTGAAACGCGATGGGTGAAACTTCCGAGTGCTATTGGTCGGAGTCTAGCGATGTGTTGCGATATATCCTGAAGTAATGAATGTCAATAGTAGTGATTGTTGGTTTGTAGGTGAGAAGTGGTGCTTCCTGCTGTGAAGTGTGTGGGTTGAGTGATGTCGTTGGTTGTAAAAAGGATAATCAAATATAGATATGTGGCTGAAATGTGGTGTCTCAGGTGACTCTCATGGCGCCGGATCTTGGTCAACTTGGCGAGGAAGTAGTTGCTGTGGAGGTGGATACGATGGTTGTTTGGGTCGTATGGGTGTTGTCTGAGGCGGTGGTGGTTGTGATGGTTTGGTGGAGGGTGATGTTTTTGGAAAAATTCGTGGTGGCGCTGGAATCGGTGGTGTTTTCGGTGGTGGTGGTGGCGGTGGTTGTGATGGAGTTGGATGTAGTGGAAAGATGGCAGGTGGTGCTGCTGAAATGTTTGATGCGGTTTTGTCTGAGGGTGAGTGCTGCAGAGCGAACACGCTGTCGCTGGTGTCCTCTGTAGGTGTAAGAGGAGGTGGTGCTGTGCGGGGTGAATCTGGTCGTGTCGTCGGGGAGGCACGTGAAGAGTGTCGAGAAGTGTGGTGTTCGGTCTGGCGGCTAGGTGAGTGGGTTCGAGTCGGTGCTGGTGAAAGTTGACGTCTTGTCCTGCATGAGGAGCGATAGTGTGTCGATCTTGCCGATCTCTCGCGACGGCTCTTTCGTGACTTGGTAGTAAGAGAGCGTCTTGTCCGAGAGCGTCTGGAGCGAGTAGTGGAGTGTTGTGATCGGTTGGGTTGTCTGCGATGTTTTGTGTGTTTGGTGAAATGCTTGGGTTGTTGTGGAGAACGTGTGCTGTGGGAGTGAGGGCTATTGCGTCTGTCAGTGCGAGGTGGTGATGTGCGGTCTGAGTGACGCCTCGGAGCGGCGACTTGTCGCTTTTTGCGTGTGTGTCGTGAGTGTGATCTGGAGCGTTGAGGTGGTTGATGGGTGTGTTTGGCGCTGTGTGAGTGCGATGCTGCTGAGGAAGTGCGCTGCTGCCATACTAGGAGTGGCTGTTCTGAGAGTTTGTGATGCTGAGGATGGTGTGGTCGTTCTTGTAGTCGTATCGTAGATCGATTGGTGGTAAGTGATGTTGGGTCGGTCTTGGGTTGTCTGGGGGATGGAGGCGTGTTTGATCGTTCGAAAGTGGAAGTAGATGTCGTGTGGGCCTTGTCCAAAGTGGTGGCCAATCGTAAAACTTGGTGTTGGAGAGTGGTTGGTATGTGTTGCAATCTGAGACATTGGTGGTAAAAGGTCTGCTGGTGCTCCACGGTTGCTTTGATCGAGGGCAACAATGTTTGGAGCTGTTGGATTCTTCCTGGTAGGCGTGGGTCTGGGTTGTTTGTGTCAGTTTCTGCGAGTTGTAATTGCCTGATAGTAGCGTGTAGTCGGTTGAGTTGAAGTACCATCAGCCGGTTGATCTGAATGTTTGTATCGCGCAGCTGTGAAATGATCTGGGCATCCAGGGCAACGAGGGAATCCATCGCTATGTCTTCGTCAAAAATCTGTACACGAGTTGGAGGCTGAGCTAAGTTGAAATAGCCGAGCTGCAAGTACATCAAGGTGGAACCGAAATGGTCATCACGTTCAAGTTCGACAAAAGGGAACACAGAAAAATCATCAAATTCAACAAAAGATGCAACAATCCAGAATAAATCTCATAAATGCACTGAGGAGACGAATTAGACGGAATAACATGGATGGTCTGTACACAGCACTGGCGATGTGTCAGTTGTCGCAAGTTTGATGTGTGTGGGGCGTGTGTTGAAACAACATGAGCTCCGCTGGCAATCGATCTTGTTTTTGCTGCACTTGTGGAAGAAAGCTGTAGTGGTATGTGGTGGGTTGGAGTCTATTGCTCACAACTGCTGAAACGACAAGAAGCAGTAAGCCAATATGTAAATATGTACGAATTGACAATAAAATAAAATAAAATACAAATACAAAGCCATCAATAGTTCTGGATGTTCTTCAGCACCAAGTAGTCCTGGGAAGCTCTGTTTGGACGATCATGTACTGCTGTTCTGTGTTCTATGTCTCTTTGTCTGATGGAGCCGGAGGTTCTGTAGTCATCGTACTGGCGTCTTTTGTGGCTGGAGGAGATGCCGCTGCTTGATGGGATGCTTTGTGAGGTGATGATGCTTCCGGTTCCACTTCTGGACTGTCTGGCTGTTGAGGTGTGTAAAGAATTCGCAAGACTTGCCATCGACCTTTGCAATCAAAAGGTGTTTTGTTGAGTGCTTTGGCTATGTACTTCCAACTGGGGCGAGCTCGCTTGTTGAGTTTGAAGGCCGCCAGTTTTTCATCTTCGCTGGGTTCCCAGCCTCCATTATCAGGATAAGGAGGTGAGTCCGTGAGGATTTGCGCTGGTTTTGTTGATGGTACTGGTTGTGGAGTGGGTACTGGTTGTGGAGGCGAATTGGGCGAGCTGGTGAGGGAAATCGTTGTGATCGGTGGTGTATGTGGTGGCATTGGTTCTGTATTGTTCTTCTGAGGAAGGCGATGGTGAGTCGCTTTGGGCTTGTGGTGATGTGGTGAATGCTGATGTGGTGAAGTGGGCGTGTGTGAGGGAGAAGGTTCTGGTTTGCACTCCTTGAAAGGTTTGCCTGTGGTGGGAGGTGGACTGCGACTGCGTGAATGTGATGGCTGTGGTTGCGGTGGTGGAGGAGTGCGTCTGGTTGGTCTTGGGGAAGAAGGTGGAGTGGTAATGGGTTGGTGGTGTGCATGCTGTGGTGGTTGCGGTGTAAAAAGTGGTAGGTTTTGAAAAGTGGTGGCAATGGATGTGGCTGCTTGAAGGTGTGCCAGAAGGAGTCGATGTGCAAATGCTGTGTCCATAGGTGAAGTCATCGTCGTGATACTCGTCGTAGAGCAAATATAGCGCGGGTAGTTGTCAGGGATCGAGCTCAATATTCAAGATAATACAAAATGGCTGCGGGGCAGAATGCAAAGCAGGAAAATCTTGCGGACTCTCTTCGAAATGCTTAAAACCAACCAGGAAGGCTGACATGCTGTAAGTCTGGAAAATTGGAACGATAGTGGTCGTGAAGAAGATCATGTTGTCGGCATCAAGCTGCACAGAAATCAGATATTGGAAGAAAAGGAAGTTGGCATCGAAGAGTTAGAAAAAAACCAAAATCAATATCAAAACCAGGCAAGCCGGCTGAGATTGTTTGAGGCTAGGTCGTCATCCGGGATATGGGGTGAAACAGAACCTCGTGAGCTGAATAGGTTGAATTAAATGAAACTAAGCGGTGGCTTTGCATCGCTTTTCCAGGCTATCCCTTCTATTCTGGAATGTTTGGGATGTGC